CTGAAAACTTTAAAGGTTGCCCACCAGATTTTTTCGGGATTTCCAACCACGCTTGTTTCCCTTTTCCTCTTCACAAGCCGGCCGGCTTGTCCAGTTTGTTTTGGGCCCCGTTTGCTTTGCTTTTGGCCAACTTGCTTACTTGTTTGTTGGCCCCGCTAAAGGCAAATTGTTTCTTTCTGGCTTTGCGTTTTCGTTTTTTCTTTTTCTCTTTAAGCAGGTGTTACCAGTGTGTGTGTGTCTGTAACTCACCTTACAAACTTGTTTGTTTCTATTGTTGTTGCTGTTACCTAATCGTCTGCGGACAGGTTATCGTTTGCTCTTGAACTTGAGGCGAGCAAACAAACAAACTTAATGTGGAACTTGAACGGACCCGACGGAGAATATATACGACAGCCAAAAAATTGGTCTAAAGGTGAATCCCAACTTTGTGCGTTGACAGATGGCAATGATGGATGGGCTCCCACCGTCCTATAGCGATGGGTCGTCCTAATCTGATTAATAATTTCAAAGAAAAATGTACAAGCACTGCTCAAAGCCCTCATTATAAACAGTATTTACATTTTTTTACATTCCTTTTAATGACAAAAAATTATAAGTCATAGCTGTATTTTAACTATTAAATTATTTAGAAAAAGTTACAAGAACATAATATAAAAGAAGCACCTGCTACTTAAAGTCAGACATATTATAATGTAAGTTCCTTTACTTGAATTATTGATTACAGTTACAAGATTATCGCTTAATAATAATGAAATAATTAACCTTTTGAACCTTATTTACAAACACTAATCAGTGATAGATTTTGTGACTTAGTAACAAACCAGCAAGATAAGAAAATAGCTGTGTTATTTTTAAAATGGATTTAACATTTTATAACGAAATAAATTATAAAATCAATAGTAATGATCTACTGATCTATGAGAACAGACCTCGCATAAACCGAGCCAGAGTTGCACTTATGAATATATCGCTAGTGTCAATCGGTGCGCTTTCATCGCATCTTCTGCCAACCGTTCGTGAACACAAATGAGGCGTGCCACTCCCACTTTCCCTTCCGGTTTTCCCCCGTTTTCCCTCTCTATCTACCGTTTAACGCGGACAGCAATTATTAAAACAGAGCCATTGGCGACATGATAAACGATTTCCGCAATATTTCCGCCAGACCTGGATAGCAAAAGGCAGCAAAGGCAAAAGGGAGGGTCGACGGTAGGGTTGCAAGCACGGCCTTCGCCAATCCCTCCCCTCTGGAACACCACGCAACACCCCCTTTGACCCGCGGGGGCGAAACGCTTACTGCGAAACACTTCAGTTGGCTACACAAATTTGCGCACGGGTCGCAAATTGTCACTGCATCGCAAAACTGTTGAACTGTTGACCTGGCCAGGGCAGGTTCCAAAATGAGATAAGATACCAAAAAAGCTAACTTATTTTCATTCATCATCAAAAAAATTGTATTTTATATAAATATTTTTATAACAAATCTCAACAGGAATATGGGAATATATGTAAGGAATATAAAATGATTAGTCCTTAAGAAACGGAAATGTGAAACAAGCAACACAATTCCTACCGAATTTGCAAGAAAAAACCCTCATTAAACAAAGCGTAAAGCCACGTCTATTTATCTGGATTAACAATATGCAAATTGGTTTAATTATGCGATTTGTTAAGCGGCAAGTGAACGACCTTGGAAATACAATACAAATGTAAAAGTATACTGCCGTGGAGTTCTTATAAATAACTGGACTTTGATAAAGTATATTTAATTTATTAAATTACATTTTACACTTCACCGAAAGGATTGAAGAATTCTGTCTCTGAAAGCGAAAGATTGTATCTTCTAAAAGATACAATTACAGAGCTTGAAGTGAATGCGAAACAAGTGAATAAGCTTAATAAATGAATAATTCCCGACACTGTCTAAGTTTGACATTTATTTCATACCCTGCGACGTCTTGTTGGGATTGTCAGACAGACAATTTATTTGATTGATTTCGGTGCCTTCTGTGCATTTTGCTCGTTTAAATTGTGACAAAGTTCTGGCGTCGCATCGCCTCAAATGAGGAAATGCTTACTTTAATTTTATTTACTTTTACGCGTCCCTCGTTATCTGTATCTTAACGAGATAGAGAGGGCGCGCGGTGGCCTTTGTGCGGAGACTTTTGGACCCTCGGGTCATGGATCATGTGCATGCATAATGCGCGCCAAGTCAAGAAGTCCATTGTATGTACATAATTTATTTAAATTTATTTGTTGTTGCTGTGCAAATTTTCCATGGCAATAAGTATTTTATTTTGTATCTACATCAGAGGCGGACAAAAAATTCTATTTATACTTGATTTGGAAGTAAGAGGTCAAATTATGTGTTCCTGATACAATATTTTCAACTCATGCTTTCGTGACAATTTGTTTTAATAAATTTGATTTATTCACTTGATCTTTTTAACATTCCTAATTATCTGAGAGCCCTTTTTTCTAGCTGCAGGCTTTAAATTAAACAAAAAGTAAAATGTATATATTTGGTTATTAAAAATTAAAAAGGATTAAAAAATAATCGTTCACTTGTTCCATATCTCTGGAAAGAGGAAAAATAAAGTGAAAACAAAATTAAAATACCATATAATAAAAAAAATTAAACACCATTTTAAATCCTTTTTGAGTGTCTGTGCTTTAATAAATAATAGTTTTTTAATAAATTTACAAAATCTGCACCGATTGCTAACAAATAACATAGTAAATAGTTTAAGAATTTATATATTTCAAAGCCCCTTAGCTAGAAAAAATGTAAACTTAAGGGGTTATATACCTTTTTGAGCGAAAAAATTGAGTGAACTTTGGATTTTTTTTCAGGTGTGTAGCAATTATTTTATGACACTGAAGTTATTTTTTTTTGATAGTACATGTTTTTATCAAAACAATAAGCGTTTGTTCTTTAAAAAATATGAATAATTTACGAAGTTATGGCAATTCTCTCGAACCCTTATTTTTTTATAGCGGCTTGCGGTGACCACGATGGAAGTCCAGCAGGCCAATTGAAATCAAAAAACCAAACAAATTTTATTAGTATAGTATTGTATCCAGTTCGTGAACGATTATTTTCAAGAATATTTGGTTTTTTCTGCATACAGCAACAATTTTTCCAAAAAGTTGATTTTTCGAGTTCTAAAAATTTTATTAAAAAATTCTGATCTGCGAAATCAAAGTTGGCGCATAAAAACTGAATCGTTCACGAACTCGGCACAATCATTACGAATAATTTTAAAAAAAATTGAAGAAGATCGATCAAATAGTTCTTGCGCAATCGTGGTCACAGCGAAGGCACTTTTGGAAAAACACGACTTTGAGATAATCGCATTCAAAGTTTTACGTTGAGTATGTGCAACTATTGAAGTCGAGCAGACAAAACGCTGTTTTCCTATCGAACTATTATTCGGATCTTTATGAAAATTTGGGAGAATGTTCTCTAGGGTATATACTTTAAGATTCAGCAAAAAAAAAATTTTCGTTTTTTTGAAAAAAGAAAAGGTATATAACCCCTTAACTCGTTTTCCACTTTATGATTATCCTCGGGTTCTGCATCTTTCCACGAAGCACAAATATTTTTATTCAATTCTTGTTGCGTGAAAATTCCACGCAAATCCGCAAAAAAAGCGACAAAAATATTTTTGCATATACACTTGTTTTTGTTTCTATTTTCCATTTGTTTTGCGGCATTTTTGCCAGCGAGGAAACCAAGGAATTTGCATAACAAAGTGAACGGTTGCTCGCGGGGGGGCAGGGGTGACATACAGACACACAAACAAAAAAACAAAGCAGTTGTTATTTTTGGCACAGACCGAGGATGGGGAGGGGGTGGAGTGGGAGAGAGAGGAGAGTGGGGGACATGTTTACTTAGGACAGGTTAATGCACCGCAGATTAACAACAATTAAGACGCGAGAGAGCGAGAGGCAAGAGACCAAAGACCAGAGATGTCTAGGGGCCAGAGAAAGATAGCACACGTACCTTTTTCGGGAAAGGGGCGCAAAGTGAGGGCCTCCTGTTGCTCCTGCCACTGAATTTTCCTATAGCCGCTGCTGCTGCTGCGACTATTGATGCGACCGCTGCTGTTGTTGCTGCTGCATCTTTCCACCGCGACCAACAACAACAGCAACAACACCCACACTGTCGCCGGCATTTTGCCGCTGGCCGCTCTCCTCGCACACACTGCTCTCTTGTTGTTGTTGTTGTTGTTGCTGCTGTTGTTTCAGCCTTCCGTTTTGTTTTCCTTTTACACAAAAACACAACACTCACACAGATGCGCTCGCACACACACCAAAACACGCGTAAACCGGGGGTGGCAAAGAAATCACAAACAGGTAACTTTTTTTACTCAGATTTACTCCATTGAAACATGCATTTTATTTGTTTACTTTTTCAAAACGCTCTGCGCGCTTGTTTATATCCTCAATCCTCATGCCGCACTCTTCGATTTCTTTGTCCGCGAAACACGACGGAACAACGGAAGAAAAACAAACTTTAACTCATAACTTTTAACTTTGCCGGCTGTTTTCCCGAAGCGACGTGAAATTCTAATTTTTCTCTTTGATTTTTACGCAGCGCGCACATCTGCTCGTTTCAAAAAATTTTTGCGAAATGCGCGTAAGCAAACGTGAAGTGCAGTAAAACGTAAGGTGAAATTCAAATCGTAAAGAAACAACGTAAGGTTTTGAACGTGACGTAACGAAAAGAAACGCGGTCACACTTAACAACGCTTTTTGTTCTTTTTTAGTCACAAATCGAACAGCCGCAGTTGTCAAAATATTTTGATTTTTCAAATTGTCTCGAAATTTAATTTAAATCCAGAAATCTTTAAAATCAAGCAACTCTATAAGCGGTGTTTGGCTTCAATATGCTGCGCCAACTAAGGGTGAGGTTTTAAAACTGTGCGAAACCCGCTTACATAAGAATGCAATTGAATGCATTATGTGCAATTTCTATTTATAAATTTTGAAATGACCAGATGACGTTGGATATTTCGAGCTGGATATTTCTGCCGTGGAGACGCTGTGCGTCAAACATCAAGGATGCTCCTCAGCCGCCGCTGGCCAGCACCTTTGGCGATGTGATTGTCGACTACGAGGACCCGGACTATCTTCCATTGCCCGAATATCCTGTGCGTCCCAATGAGCCGTTGGACATTCGAAAGCAGCGGTGGGTACAAATATATACAATTTGTAGCTAGTTTAACATTGCTTTATAATATTTCTCAAAACAAATTAACTTAATCCGTAAAAAATATAATATAAATTTTTGTACACTATTTTTCAAATTCATAAAAATGGCCTATTTTGCAATAAACTTGAATATGTCTATTAGAAATCAATATTTTAATTGTATATTATATTCCCTAATCCTTTCCAGACTTTTGTATCAATCCCGTAAGCGGGGAATGCTGGAAAACGATCTTTTGCTCAGCACCTTTGCGGCCAAACACCTTCAGAAATTCAGCGCCGAGCAGACGGCTCAGTACGATCAGTTAATCAACGGAGTCAGCAATGATTGGGATATCTACTACTGGGCCACCGATGTGAAGCCCACACCCAAAGAATACGATACTGAGATCATGATGCTCTTGAAGGAGCACGTGAAGAATGCCGAAAGGGTAACTCGTCTCCGCCAGCCGGATCTGAACACTTAGTCTCTTCTGATGTTATCAATATGTTTATATACTTATCGAATATTATGAAATTTACATTATTCTAAGATCCAGGAGATCGTTACTTTAAACAAGCCGCAAATTCTTTAGTTCTGAATCTTTCCTGTACGAAAATATTCGATGATTCTTAAAATGCAACCCTGCAGGTCCAAAAATTTCTCGTTATGATTACCAGATTCTCAAAAAAAAACCTACTGGTAATAAAGTAAATACAGAAATATAGTTGAGTACGTTGTGATCCAGGAGATCTAGACTTAAAAGCTTACATAATATTTATTGTTTAACAAAAAAAGAAGTACATTATTAAAAATGCAATACTAGCACCTCTCGAACACCTTGTACAGTGTGGGCAGATTAGTTAGCTCGTAGATGTGATCCTTGAGACGTGGCGGCGGCAGGAGATACTTTTTAAAGGCTGGAAATAGAACATGCTCCATTGTCCACCTCGAATGTCCCACTCCAGAGCCCTCCCGCCAATCCAATTGCGAGTAAAATCGAGCCGTTTCCCTGCAGAAAGTCTCAAAACATCCAGCCTCCTGCTCCCAATCCACCTCGGTGGCCAATCGGAGAAGGTAAACCGGCAAGTGGGCCACACTAGGACGATACTGGGCCACCAAGCTGGGCAGCGATTCCAGCTTACCCTCCGCGGAGATGCGCAAACCGAAATACTCGCGCATAATGGGAGCCTTCTTCAGCAGTATTTCCGCAGCACTGACGGCCAGTTCATCCTTATCCCCATCCTCGGGCGTCCAGCCGGCGGCCTCGCTGTCCAGCGACAGCATTAGCAGCTCCTTGAGAGGCAGCGGCGGATTTATCGTGATCTCCGAGCAATTTTGGAACTCGTAAATCAGCCGCTGGTAGAAGAGTTCCTCACTGAAGCGGCGTGTGTTGCAGAGATATAGGTGAGTCTCGTGCTGGAACAGGGCTCGCCGTTCGTCCACGCAGCCCACATAGACCATGTTCTTGAGGGTGCCGCGCAGCTGAACGCTGCACTGCCGCTCCACCCGCTGTCTCATGTCCAGCACGCTGCTAAGACGCACTTCTCGGGATTTCTTCGCCGCCGTGATGCGAAAACTCTCCTCTGGCAGCGGAGGAGGAGCCTCCTGGGAGGAAGTGGAGGACACACCCGAATCACTTTTGGTCAAAGGCGCCAGAAACTTGTCCAACTTTTGTTCGCTGGCATCGGTGCGCACCATTTCCTTGGGATAGATGCGCTGCGTCTTATCCGCCGACTGTGTTTCATCCAAATCCGGAGCTCCTGGCAGCCGCAGCTGTTTGTAGAATGTCCTCGTGGAATTGCTGCCCAGGAGACGGGCTTCCACCTGCTGCTTGAGCCTCTCGACAATCTCATCCTGGTAGAGGAAGTGCACCTCGTGCTTGGTGGGATGGACATTCACGTCCAGATTCTGGGGCGGCAGCGTGAGGCTCATGTAGACAAAGGGATGGTGTCCACGCGGCAGGTAGGTGGCATACACCGAGTCCACGGCGGTCTTGAGAGCTGGAAGAATAACTTATTAATCAAAAAACAAAGGCGTAGGTAATCATCACACACCCGGCGACTCGACCAGTCGCTGGTTGATGAACAGCAGCATCTGGCTCTTCTTGGCCGAATAGTTGACCTGGGTGATCAGGCAGTCCGCCTCGAACTTGAACACCTCATCCCGGTGGCTAAATTCGAGTAGCTCCTTGGAAATGGCTGCGCCGTAGATAATGCGAATGTTTTCCGCCCGCGAACTAGCCACTGGAGTCCGCAGGGCGGGCTGTGCCTCGCCCTGCTTGCGGAGGGTGAAACCCACGCGGGGATTGTGCACAGCATACCGGGCCAGAACGTCGGACAGCCGCTGGAACTCCTCCGCTGGCGAACGGAGCGCCTGCCGCCTTTGCGGCATGTTGTAGAACAAATCCTCGATGGAGATGATGGTCCCCTGGTTGCCGGCGCACGGCTTCGGCTGCGCCTGCAGCTTGCCATCCGCATAGGTGGCCTTGTAGCCGCACTTCTCCTGCGCCGTCTTCGTCTGGATGCCCAAATGGGCCACATGACTGATGCTGGCCAGCGCCTCTCCCCGAAAGCCAAATGTGGCTATCTGTGCCAGGTCCTCGAAGCGGGACAGCTTGGAGGTGGTGAAGCGTTCGCAGACGATGGCCAGATCCTCGCGCCGTATCCCTGTGCCATTGTCCTGGATCTGGAGAAGCTTCAGGCCGCCGGCCTTCACCTGCACTTGAATGTGACTCGACTGGGCGTCCAAGCTGTTCTCGAGCAGCTCCTTCAAGGCGTTCGCGGGTCTCTGGATGATCTCGCCGGCGGCTATGCGGTTCACCACCACCTCGTCCAACTTCCGGATGACGCCCGGCTCCATGGCGCGAAATCTTCACGAGAAATGTAAACAAAATAATGGTGTGACCGTTTGGCTGGGCGGGAATATAACAGCAGTAAAGTACATAATGGCGGTAAGTTTAAACTTTTAAAAAATTTAATTAAATTCAGCCAAAAAAAGATTAAAAATAAACCAATTTGAATAAAAAAGAGCCAAATTTTTACCATATACCAGCGTAACAATTTAGTTTCGATCTGGCACTTTTGGGTTTCAGACATTAATCACTTTTAAAATTGCAAAAAAAAATGCATTAATAAAATAATTAATTCGTTTTCTTCAAGTTTAAAATATTTATCGCTATTAGCAAACAAGAGCCAAATTCAATAAAAAAAAATGGGCCAAATCTGGCAACCATGTTTAAATTATTAAAAATAATAAAAACAATTCGATTTAATAACAACTTTATTAATCGGTTATTACAAATAATACAAGTTGATGTTACACTCATTAAGTTTTTAACTACATTTATAACGTTGGTCTACATTATTGTGACTTTCTTCTTAAACTTCTGTTAATATTTTCAAATATACTTTTCTTAAACATGTTCAGGTAATTTTTTTGAGTTTCAGGTAACATTTGATACATTTTTCTTCATTGCTTTTGAACTTCTATTGTCTCAACAATATAGGTATTGTTTATAAATGTACTTTGAGATTAGTAAATGGTATTTAATCCATTAAACTTAAAGATTTCTTTTCACTACAACTATTTTGATTTTGGTGATTACCAAGCGGTAAGGAAAACAACGTTATTTGTACAGCAAAACGTTAGCAATGATAATGGAAATGCTCTGCTATGAATACTATGAGAACCATTTGCACTTGAGGCAAATGAAAACTGAGATTCCGAGGATAATGGTTGTGTACTTGAAATAGTTGCGCACTTTCTTGCGTTTTCGCTCGGCCAGGATTTCGTTGAAGTCAATGAAGAGGGGATTCTGCGGGGGACTGAACGAACCAAGCTGTAAATATACAAGAATAACGTTAAGTGAAGAGTTTTAAACAATTATATTTGAAGACTCACATATTTAACCGTCTTTGTTAGTTGGTTGAGGACATCGCGGTATCCCTGCATATTGCTTTTAATAGTGGCCAGCTGCTTTTCGTCTGGTTGCCCCATTTGGTTTTCTTGTTGGTTCTTCAAAACGAACCGCAAGGATGCCTGAATGATGACCAAATGCTGTAGATGATTGGCGGCAATCATGAGGATCTCATAGAAGCTGAAAGGAATGTTATTATAATATTAATAAGAATGTTAAAACAATAAACGTAACACCCACTTGTCCATTTCATTCTCCTTGACTCGAGCTATCGACGAGTTACACCAATGATGCAGATGGAAGCTGCAGAGAAAGAAGCATTACATTGCATGTTTACTATATACAATTAACAACCACTCACTCCAGAATGCCCTTCAGTATTTTGTGACGGTAGATGGGATACTCGATGCCCACCTCTTTGAGCTTCGGTTCATCCATGACCAAGAACTCGGCCAGCGAGGTCCTTGCGATGGCAAAGTGCTGAATCATATTGGTCACATTGATGGACTGCAGGATGCCGTTCAGCTCCTGGAAATACTCCGGACAGTCGCTCTTCAGGAAGATGCGTGGAATGTGATCCCTCAGGGTGTTGTAGCCCAGAAAGTGCGTGGGCACCAGGTAGGTGGATGCCGGACGCGGCAGGATCTCCAGCAGATCGTAGTATCCATGGCACTCGGCCACCTGGGTGGGCGTGTAGCCCTTGTTGTTGGCTATCGTGGCATTCACGCCCGCCTCCACCAGCAGCTTGACCACCTCCACGTGGTTCTTTTCGATGGCATGGAAGATGGGCGTGCAGCCCTGATTGTCCACAGCATCGAAGCTGACGTCCTTGATGAGGAGACGCACCACGCCGGTGAATCCATTCTGGCAGGCGAACATAAAGGGCGTCATTCCGTATTTGTCCGATACATTGACCACGGCTCCGTGGCGCAGGAGCAGGCGCACTATTTTCTCCGCCACATACGGATCCTTGTGCTGGCAATCGCAGGCCATCATCAGCGGCATCACCGAGTCCAGCTGCCGGTTTACATTGGCCTTGGCCTTCTCCACCAGCCACTCGACCACCTCGTAGTGCCCCTCGCGACAGGCGAGCATCAGCAAATTGGGTCCACCCTTGACGGTCTGGTCCACCTGGAAGACGAGCTTGTGCATCTCCTCCCGCATCGTCTGCAGATCGCCGTCAAGCACGGCATTGTAGAGCTTCTGCTCGGGATCCACATAGGGAGCCGGTTTCGAGCGTTTCATCTGGCCAGGTGAAACGAGACACCTAAGGATTATGTCGACTGGAGTATTATCAAGGAGCGCTCACCTCGTCCGAGAAGTAGAAGCCATCGTAGCTGCTGTCCGAGTCGGAATCCCGGGGAGGGCCGTAGTGGCTCCGGCTGTTCATCTTCTGGGATTTGGATAAGTGCTAGGAATAAAGTCCTAGCACATTGTTTGGAGGAAATCAGGGAAAAATGCGAAAGGAAGAAAATGGCAAGCTAAATTAGAGATGCAAAAGCTTGTGCCATCGATTGTTATCGATAAGTCATGTATAATGTAATGTATTGTATGTGTACGGGTCTCAGTTCAACAAGGAAAATATCAGGCTACTATAGATGAAAAAAAGTGACAAAAAGTACTTCTGTAAAAACCATTGTAGCTAAAGAAGTAGAGGTCGCCCAACTTTGTGATTAAACAATCTTGAAGTTAAAGGTTCAAAGTACATTTTCCGCTAAATTGTGGCTCTGGGCTAAAAAGGTTTTCTTACTATTAAGCCGTAAAAAGTGCTTAAAAATCGAAATTTTGGAACTTTGACCACGGATTTCTAAAAACTTCGACGTGATGGAAAGTTTCCAAGTATGAGGTAGTAATCTACAGCTAAAGTTCTTTCAGGTTTTGTAGCGTTTATTCTTGGGCCAAGAAAAAGTCTTGATTTTGTCGACCTGTGTTATTAATCCAACATTATTATTTAGTTAAGACCAGATAAAATATATCTGGTTTAAAATAACGTAATATTTCAATTGAAAACAATTCAATGCCTTAAAGAAGTACATGTTTTATTTTACAAGTTTACGATTTAACATTGCATACAACTATATTTTTTTAGCAGTTCTACTTCTTTTTATCCTTCTTGGCGTACCGCGGTCCTCCAAAGCTCTTGCCCTTGTTGAACTTATTCTTGCCCGCCTTGTTGGTCAGCTTTTACGCTGCTGACCTTCTTCTTGGCCGCAATCTTGGTCATCTTCTTGTGCCGATTGGCCTCAGATCTGAAAAAAACATTAATTAATTAATACGAATATTTAAAACAAGCAAAAGTCTAGCAATCACCTTAATCGCAGTGCTCCACCGCGACTGACATCGGTCAAATCGTTTGTGAATGCCGATTGGCCGCCGCGCCGCTTGGGTTTGCTGTCGGAGGCGCCGCTCTTGTGGGCTTCGGTGGCTGCTCCCAGTTTGCCCGGTCGCTTGCGCAGCTTGGCCATCTTGGCGCGCACCAGCGACACCTTCTCGATCTCCTTCATGGCCCGCTCCTTGGCCAGCTGCTCGGGCGTCTTCTTCCGCGGCTCCTCCTTCTTCTTCTTGTTCCGCTTCGCCTCCAGCTCCTTAACTGGTGGTCCATCCTCGCCATCGCCACCGTACTCGGGTCGCTTGCGTTTACCCGCTGTCTTGCCCTTTCCCTTGCCACCAGCTGGCTTCTCCTCGTCCCCGGTTGTCAACGCTAGGCGATCCTTCTCCGCCTCGCGCTGCTGCTTCGTCTGGAACCAACCGCGCCGCTCACCGGACTGCCCCAGCAGCTTGCGCTCTGTTTTGGAAAGCTGTTGCTCCGTTTTGGCCAGCTGCCGCTCGGCCTGTTCCTCGTCGAGAATGTTTTCTAAAATAAATAAACCAATTATCAACTAATAAGCATAAAATGGGCATTCTAATACACTTACGAATCTCTGGCTCCAAGCTCGTAAGTTTGTTGCGGTACTTCTCAATGATCTCTGGCGGAATAATACGATTCTTGATCGTGCTCTCGGCATTCTTGATAATGTCCTTAACGATCTTACGCTCCTTTTCGCCGGCCAGGGAAACGGAGATACCGGCACGTCCCGCACGAGCGGTTCGACCCACTCGATGGATGTAGTGCTCTGTGGTGATGGGCATCACAAAGTTGATGACCGTCTTCACGCCCACAATATCCAGACCACGAGCTGCAACATCGGTGGCAATCAACACATCAATCTGTTCCTCCTTGAACTTCTTTAGCGACTCCAGACGCTGTTGCTGGGTGAGATTGCCGTGCAATTCACCGGCTCGAACGCCCAGCAGACCGAGCAAGATGTGCAGTCGATGGGCCTGCTTCTTGGTTTGCACAAACACCATGCAGTGGTCATGGAACGTGCGGCAAATCAAACTGGCCAGGATGGGCTCTCGATCGCCCTCCTTATCCTCGCGTATGCGAATGAATTCCTGGCGCAGATTGAAGGCCACCTGCTGGTTGTTGTTGACGAACACCTTTACGGGCTTGTCCAGCGAAACGGCAGCCAGATCCTTGACCTGCTCGCTCATTGTGGCCGAGAATAGCATGGTCTGGCGCGTTTTGCAACAGGAGTTGATGATCTCCTTCATCTGCTCGGCGAAGTACTCATCCAGCATGCGATCGGCCTCGTCTAGGATGAGAACCTGTTTGGAATATCATAATACATTTAATAACAATATACATGTGGCATAATTATGGGTAAAGCTTAGGGATCAGCTTGCATCTGCCGAGCAGAAACAAGAACCAGATTTTCCTCTTAGCTGTGGAAAGAGCTCAGAGCGCAAGGATGGAGAATCATCATAGGTAAAACTATAAGTAATTGCTCATTGATTCACTGACCTCAATGGAATCCAAAGTAAAACTAGGCGTGTTCTTGATGTGATCGATGAGACGACCTGGCGTGGCAATCACAATGTCGGGATTCTGGCGCAGCACCGCCTCCTGGGCCTTCACATCCAGGCCGCCGATGGCCAGGCCCACGTCTATGCTGGTGAACTGGCACAGCTGCTTGGTCACCTGGTACACCTGGGCGCCCAGCTCACGGGTGGGCACCAGAACCAGTACCCTGGTGATGGCCTTGTTGTTCAGCGGACGATATAGCAGACGCTCGAGGGTGGGCAGCATATAGGCTGCCGTTTTGCCTGTGCCCGTGGCGGCGCAACCGCAGATATCGCGACCCAGCAGAGCCACCGGGATGGTGGAGGCCTGGATGGGCGTGGGATAGATGTAGCCCAGCACACCGATGGCACGCATTAGGGGACGCGACAGATTCATTTGGTAGAACGAGGTGATCTGCTCATTGGCCTCGATGGTGTCGTCGAACTGCATCTTCTCGCCCTCCTCCTCCTCCTCGTCCTCCGCGCCGGCCTTCTTCTTGTTCTTCGACTGTTTCTTCTCCCTCAGCCGCAGGTTGTCGTGCTTTAGTTCGTCCTCGGAGAGATCTATCTCGCTGCCGTCGCTCTGCTCTGCGGCCACCGCCTCGGCGCCACCGCGCTTCTGCAGGCGGGCCGCGATCTTGTCGTCGGTCTTTGTGCGCGCCTTCCGCTTCACATACTTCATCAGATCGTCCCAGGTGTCCTGGTTGTACTCCTTCACCGAGGACACGAACTCGAATCCCTTCTCGAACTCCGTCACCTTCTTGTGCCTCAGTTTGGTCGGTTGGTACTGTGAAAAATCTAGGAGCTCAGTTTTGCATTGAGTTTAACACCATGATTTTCCTACCTCCACTTCCGCGTCGGAGTCCTCCGACAAATTCTCCACCTCGGCATCGTCCTCGATGGTGCCTATCAAGTCCAGGTTCTTGGTTGCACCCATTTTTTTCAGCTAAAAACTATTAAAAACTCCAGCGCGTGTTTACAAAGTAAAACACACGTGTGGATCGTTAGTGATGGGATAACTTGCCGGAACATCATCGTATCGCATATGTACAAGAATATTTAGGGTATTCCCTTAAGTAGCTCAATGGTTAAAAATGCAACAGATATTTTCACCGACCTTAGGCTTAGTACTTAACCCAACAAAAAGTCGTCCAAAACAAAAAACTTCATATGAAAAACAACGTCAAAAAAATTTTGTTTCATATGAAGTTTTTGTTTTCGACGACTTTTTGTTGGGTTATACCCTTAACCAAAGTGTGGTCAATTTTTTTTGAAACTATATAAAATCATATTACATTTTACATCTATTTTTTGTCAGTTAAGCTCCATTCAGAGTTTTAATTTAAGACCATCAAATTATTTGATCTAATTTATCAAGAATGGTAATGAACTTAAAAAATAAAAACAAGTAATTACCAACGAATATAATTTTGTTCAAATATTTTAATCGTCTGACCATAGTCTAAATTTATAAGTAAGCTAAGAAAAACTAAAAATATACTCATTATTTTTATTTTTTAGTAAATAATTCGTACTAAGATACAGCCTTAAGACCATCGAATTGCTGAAAAAATTGTACAGGTAACGAGCAGATGACAGAAATAAAAAGATTCAACAGTTAAGGGAATACCCTAAATATAAAAACTATCGAAGCCCAGTCAAACATCGATATTTCCACTATTATGAAAACCCACCTCTATTTCAAACGGCGTGCATAGCTGCTGCAAAGCAAAAATGGATTCCATTTTTTTACTAGACACAAAAGGCAACCAGGACATTGATGGCGACCAGCAGCAAACAATTGCATACAACAGAGACTTGCTGTTGCCAGAAGAGGAAAATGACAGCGACGGCGGGGAGCAACAGGAAGGCGAAGTGAAGTTATTTGGCCTGACGCTAGACTGCAACGAAGTGCTGAATGCTGTGAGTTCCCAGCCTGAAAAAAGGAAACTAAAACTGAAGCGGAACGCACTCCTTGATCAAAATGCTGGCCAAGATGTGGAGACGGTGCGGGAAAAAGTGGAAAAGAATCTGAAAGACTCAAGGACAGCTTTAAATCCAGCCCTAGAAAAGACCAATGCACTGCCCACTGTGGGAAAGAGGCAGCAACCCAATATAAACAGAGTGAGTATGAAGCAAGTTCCAAGCAAACCCTATGATTTACCACCTATGATGAAATTTTCGACATCGGAAGCTGCACATATCCGCATGGTATATGTGCATGGCTCAGACTGCTTGAGGTGAATCCTGCGATCAGACTCAAAGTCGACAATTCCAGCTTCTTCCGTTGTAATCTTGGATTCTGCATTAGAGAATTTGCAGTGGCCGTAAGGCCAGCGGAACAACAAAAGCCACGAGCAAGACTATTATCTGTCGTGAAGTCAAAGACTGGTAATTTAGGCTATGGCTTACAGAAAATTTGTACCAAATGAAGCAAATATTGTCGACCCAGGAGACACTTAGGTCTGAGCTACTTGCCCCATTGACGACGTCTTTAGTAATCTGAGAAAAATATAGATATAACCAGCTATTGTATTTAATTTCCTTTTCTAATCGCCTTTCTGTTTTTCAGGTTGAACGCGCTCGAACCAAAGGAAAAGGTTGGTTTGATTTGCCCGCCACAGAAGTCACCGAGGAAATGCGAAACGAACTCAAAATCATACAGATGCGCTCGGTTTTGAACCCCAAACAATTCTACAAGAAGAATGACCTCAAACGCATGCCTAAATATTTCCAAATTGGAACCGTGCAACACTCGGCTTTGGACCACTACAAGGAAAAGAAGTCGAAGAAGAGTCAAAGTCTAGTTAATGAGTTGCTGGAGGACAAGAGCTTCCAAATGTTCAACAAGAGGAAATTTAATGAGGTTATTCAACGTACGGATAAATACGCTTATAGGAAAAACATGAAAAAAATGAAAAAACTAAAGAAGAATAAATAATTAAATTAAAAATTAATTATGTTCGACACCTATGTTTCTTTATTAACACGTACCATTAGCCAATATAAAACATTGTTTATTATAAAGGAGTAGTATCATTTAAAGAATCCTGGAATGGCCAATAATTCAAAATATCAAGAAAGGAAGCTATTATCTTCGATATAATGTTTAAATAATGCCCCTAAGGTTATTTAAGAATTCAGAAATTCAAAGTAATTTTTATTTTTCCTGTGTTTTTTTGTCTCGTGCGATATTTTTGTATGCCACCGATATATCGTTGTTCTACGTGCCGGCAATAAATTTCTCACATCTCTAATCACACTCGCTCAGCTGTTTTACCAATTTTGTTATGAAATTTGCCTGAGTTCCACACTAAAAATGCTGCGTTTACTGACAAAAACACGAGCCCTGCGGTGAGTTTTTATAAACTCAAGATCCTAAGTAATTCGATGTACTAATTTTCTGATTTCGCAGGCAACTGGTGCCAGCCAGTGGTGCTACTTCACCTGCAACCCGCTCCTACGCTAAAAATCAGGGAGCAGCTAGCCAGAAATCGGAGGACGACATGGTCAGCAACGAGCCCATCAAGTTCTTCGGCAGCCAGGCGGCCACTTGGCGGGCCAAGGACACAAGGAGCGGAGGCAGCGAGGAGTCCCTGTGGTACCAGCCCTACGTGATCTCCGCCAGCTTGGGCGCCTTCCTCCTGTACTTCTGTGCTCTGCGCGAGGAGAGCGACATTGATCTGCGGCTGGAGGGCAACTTGTACGACCATGTCAGCGGCCTGGAGGAGGTTCAGCTGACTGTCAACTACAAGTACAACAAGGAGCATGGACTGGACACCACGGAGCAGGAGAGTCGGCTCAGGGAACTGGGCATCGATCTGGGCCAGTTGGACGCCAAATTGGCGGCCCAGTAGTTTTAGAGTTGGTTAATTGTACGTTCTTTGTTTCGTTAAGTGAGCAAGCTGCTTCAAAATAAACATTTTTAGAAACTGAAACTAAATGCATAGTTCCATTCTTAAATATAAAAAATCAAACATAATAATAGCTTTCCTTTTTACTTATTTTTTAATATTTATTTCCATTTTCTTACATCTATTTTACAAGTATTCACAGTGGTAATAATTGCTTGTAATATTATTGAAAATATTTTGGTGAAAGAAGGAGGCAGGCGTACTTTAGCATCCTGGACTGCTGATGATGATGGATCTGCGTATCCCTCTTTTGCTAGACTGTCCATTGCAACATCATGGTGATAATCAGGTGACACACCAACCAATCTGCATCTCGGTTAGCGTGAAGTGAAACAGCCATCGCAAGGGTAAGGCCGCTTAGCAAAAGAACGGCCATAAACTTCATGTTGAGCAGACTGTATTGAAATGAAAACTGATCTGAGGAGGGTCCTTTCTGGGCCATTAAGTAGGAAGAGCAGGTAGGCAGTTGTCAAGCGTAGATTTAATTTTTCCAGGGAAATTGGGAAATTTGGATTGGTTTTTTTGGGAATCGTTTATGGATTTCCTTCGGGATTTTCTTAGAGATACATATGCTAAATGGTTTGCTTCGTAATTGATCAAGGATTTGCTATGAAATTGAAAATAGTGAAGGAAAAAGAAATATCAAAAATAATATTTATTTTCGGTCTAAAATAGATGTTTTCAAAAAATAATGCTTTAAAACAAGAGTGTAACAATTATAAAAATTATTTTAAGCCATTATAGAAAAATGTCATTCTTAAGATTTTTTTGAAATCAATTAAAAAAATACTATTTATTATGTAGATTGCGCATTTTAAATTGACGGATATGTGTCCAAAAAGTCGCTAAAAGTAAAATGTGTATTTTAAAGATCTACAACAATATTTAAAAATATTGGCAGGTAGTGGCAATAAACCCAATAAATATGTTACTTTTTAAGAAATCGGTCTTGTTGTCAACTTTGACCTAATTATTTGTAATTAGGTCCCAAAAAACACAAGATTACTAGAGGAGATCGAGTCTTTTAAATGTTTTTTTTTTAATGTTTTAAATGTGTGTTAAATTTAAAAACGATTGGATTTTCCAAAATGTCATCGCTTAGTGAGACCAAACTCTGGTAGTCGCCCCCAGCTGATTGCTATCGATAAGAACAGCTGAGCTGCATAAGCAGGTGTGCACACACTGTGATTCCGATAAGAAACCCGCAGGAAAAGTAGAAAAAGTAAACTGATCCCGACCGCTATATCCATTATCTGTGCGTTTCATGCACACGTCCGCTGACACACAGCCGTCTCCACCCCCAAAAGCAGATTCCAGTGGAGGGCGCAAGACTCCGACAGCATGGTGAGTAGACAAAGAAGCCCTATCGCGCAGTGGCCCCCGCCCATCGCAGCCGCCTGATTTGCATCCAATCACGCATTTTCACGCCTTTTCAGAGCTACGATGACGACGACTATCCGGCGGACACGTTCCCCAAGGATTTCGGCTACCGGGCGTACAACCAGGATGGCCTCGAACTGGAGCCCAACGCAACGGGCAGCAGCGAGACCAAACCGCGCATTCTGCTAATGGGAATGCGCAGATCGGGCAAGAGTTCCATCCAGAAGGTGGTCTTCCACAAGATGTCGCCGAACGAGACGCTCTTCTTGGAGTCCACCAGCAAGATCGTGAAGGACGACATCAACAACTCCAGCTTCGTGCAGTTCCAGATCTGGGACTTCCCCGGCCAGATAGACTTCTTCGAGCCGACCTTTGACTCGGACATGATCTTCGGCGGCTGCGGAGCCCTCGTCTTCGTCATCGACGCCAAGGATGACTACAACGAGGCCCTGACCAAGTTCAAGAACACAGTGCTGCAGGCCTACAAGGTGAACCAGCGCATCAAGTTCGAGGTGTTTATACACAAGGTAATATCCGTGATTTAAGCGCTTATCGGAGGTGATAGATAACCCAGTTACCACCTGCTCGCTTCCCAGGTGGACGGCATCAGCGACGACTCGAAAATGGAATCGCAGCGGGATATCCACCAGCGGTCGTCGGATGACCTCAGCGAGGCTGGCCTCAATCAGATTCACCTGAGCTTCCATCTGACCTCCATCTACGACCACTCGATCTTCGAGGCCTTCTCCAAGGTGGTGCAGAAGCTGATTCCACAGCTGCCCACGCTGGAGAACCTGTTGAACATCTTTATACCAGTATGTTGGATTGGCTTTTTAGGTTTCTAGCTATATATCTTATACCTCAATCTTTGCAGAACTCTGGCATAGAGAAGGCCTTTCTGTTTGATGTCGTTTCTAAGATTTACATAGCCACGGACTCCTCGCCCGTAGACATGCAGACCTACGAGCTCTGCTGCGACATGATCGACGTGGTCATAGATCTGTCCAGCATATACAGGCAAGACAACTTTATTTCTTGAATTTACCGGATTTTACATTGATTTTTTTGCAGCTCCGAGGAAACGGCCTTTGATAGCGGCAGCTCTAGTCTCATCAAGCTGAACAACAACACGATACTCTACCTGCGGGAGGTGAACAAGTTCCTGGCTTTGGTCTGCATACTGCGCGAGGAGAACTTCAACCGGCAGGGCGTGATCGACTACAACTTCATCTGCTTCCGGGACGCCATCAGCGAGGTGTTCGAGCTGCGGCTGAAGCGCCAGAAGCAGCTGGAGAACAACGACCAGGACGACGACGATCTGGTCGACGAGCAGACCCTCATTCGCCATGGCCATGACGCATCGGGGATGTCGCGAGCGCAGCCGATCAATTAGGCGCCCTCCAGCTTCCAGCGGCGAGCCCCATTTATTTCCCCCTATGCTACTTCTCTGTGGACACTTCGATTCCAATTTGTACGTTCTCTTTCGTTATATCTGCTGTTACTTTTGTCTACTGATACGTTAAGGCGCCACTCTCACAGAGCAGCGTAACAAATTGCCCAGCGGTTGAAATTAATGATAATACTACCAATAAATATGTCTATTTTTAAATACAAACGTGGGTCGGCATTTGATAATATCGTTTTAAAGGTGATTTTAAGAAGAGGTGGGTGTGGCTACTTAATATTTTTATTAAAGCTAGTGTTTTTTGTTTTAAGGCTTGGGGTTTCCATTTTTTAACTGTTTAAATAAGTTTTTGTACTTCCTTTGTATACTTATCCTTAACAATTATAGATTCTCTTCTTTACAAGAAGGTATTTAAAATGAGTTATATTATTTCTGAAATGCTATAATTTAAGCCCAACAAGAAATAAGTGTACAAAAACTAAAAAAAAGTATTATCTTAGATTGTTTTCGATTTTCTTTGATACTCCTTCCTGGTTTTTGAAATGGACAAGATAAAGAGATCTGGGAAATAATATTTATTACAATTTCAAATCAGTTTTCATTTTAAATCCCAACCCGACAAAAACCAAATGGAGTCATGCAGATTTTAGTCAAGTTTCGAACCACAATGACTCGATAAATCCCTGCCATTATCGATGTTTCCCCACCCCTAACCACATAGCTGGCCACACTGGCGCTCAGCTGTTCTTTTTGTTGTTGTTTTTCCATTTCTCCAGCGCGAGTTCCGAAATTTCCGAGCGCATCGCAGCGATAATTTCCCGGGGGTTAGTTAAATAACGCTTACTAGTTTAATTAGCCAATTGTGCACCGACGTCGTGGCCCAAATTCAATTTCAACGACCGGGCGCTAATCGTTAAAGTCGCAACAGTAAAACGTAAAATAAAAGGCAGTTAAAAAGAAAGAGAACCCTGGAAAAAGTGGTTAATGTGTGTGTATTTGGCGAGCAGTGGCGGAGCACTGAAAAAACCAGTTAGTTCGCAGTGAAAGAGATTCAATAACGTGTTGGGGGAAAAAAGAAGAACAAATTGTTTCGAGTGTGCGAGGCGACGACGACGACAAACAACTGGTCCGGTACGAAAAAAGTCCGCTTTCCTCGCTCATTAGCGGTGCTTTCCTCGGGCCCACGATCCCAGGTTATCCAAAGTCGACTGGAAATCGGAATATCGGAATCGGCGAGACCTAAAACCGGGCTATCATTATCCGCAAATTGATATATATGCAGGTGCATCCTCATCAGCATCTCAATCAACTGGCAGGTGCGTACTTTTCGCAACTTTCGATATTATTATACTCGTCTGATCGGGTCTTTCGGTCTCCATCTCTATCCATCTCCCTCTGGTGCGTGGTGTCTACTGTGTCTAATATTCAACACATTTCATTGTCTTTCGGTTATTGTTAACACCCTACGTGGTGGAGCATCTTGGCCATTCATTCAGTCGGCCAGTTCAGTCCCATTCATTTGCCTAACATACAAATTTTTTTATTCAACCTACCAACAAATAAAGTGAAAGGTGCGCGGCACGCGTTTCCCATCTTTTGTCTTGCATTTCGCTTCGGCAGCCAGGAAAGCGAAATCGTTCTTAGTCATCAGGATTTTCGGGGGGTGGAATCCAGAAGGAAATATACCGCCTGGCAACAGGCAAGAATGTCAAAAAAATCATATTAATCCCGTTGTACTTCAAAAAATACATAGACTTTTTCGGGAATTCTATACGTACATCAGGATTTTTGAGGGTGAAAATGAGCCCAAATCAAAGAGATAATCTGCCTGGCAACAGGCAAGAAAAATCAACGAAAGTATATTCTTGAATTTGTTGTAGTTATTATTTATCGATTTTTATGTTGTAACAAGGAAAAATACCAAATTTAAAATTGCAGATGTCTCTGAATAATGTATTTTTATAGAAAAAAATCACATCTTATCAAACTTATCAGGTGAAATTTATAGAAGATAGTCCGCCTGACAGACTCAAGATAAACCGGTATTGACCCCACGTTAATATTGATTTTTGCAGCTGCTGCAGCGGCTTAATCATTAGTTTTGTTTTACCACGACAAGTGTTTCGGCGGCACCACACCCACTTATGTCAGAGGGAAAAGCGTAAGCGGAAATGATTTCATACACCGAAACCCACCCCGAAAAATGAAAACACATCGTGTTGAAACCGCGTTTCCATGCTTTATGGCCATTGCCTGCCCCAAGTCGCTTTTCCTCGTTTTCCGCTTTTATGTTGAGGTTAGGTCTCCGAATCCGTCTGACTTTTCGGGGTGCCGGCTTCTTTGCGTCGTCGCAAAAGTATGTTGGATTTCGGGGGGTGCAAAACACTCGTAGCATGCTTTTGCTTTTCCTCTAAATTTCACGGCCGAATTGATTTTTCCAGCATAAACATTAAACATTACAAAACGCTTCGCAGAAATGGCGATAATAAAAGCGTCTTTTCATTTTCGCACTCAGCACGCACATCGAGATAATTATTACCGCTCATTGCCGTTTTCCCTCTTACAAAACTGCGGTGTTAATGCAGCCAGCACGTGCGTTTACGACTACGCATTGAATTTTCCGATTTTCAGTTTCTATCTCGCCAACAAAATTCTCACCTGGTCCCCACCAAAAAATGGGGAAACGAAAGACGCAACCATGACCAAAGAAATTCAAAACTTGAGCAATTTGTAGAAAAAATAAGGTGTTAACTAACCGTGAAGTTGGTCAGTGGGAAACCCAACGAAGATGCTCTAGCTTAGAGCTTATACAGAGGAAAAAGTATCACCCAGAAATGTTTTGGCTTAATTTATCATATCCAAATTAATTTAGATGTTTGATTTTAATTGTACCTTTGTAATGTACCAAAAAAATACCTCAATATGTCCCTAATTTCTGGAACTCGAAGGTTTCTGATATAAAAATATGTTTGCGTTTTAGAAATATTTATGTTTAAATAGGACATTATCTATTTATAAATATTTTCCATGGTGTAGTTTCGGCAGACTCGGAAATTGTTTGATCGATTCGATTCCTTCGTCTGCTTCCGCTCCACGGCTATCGCTATCGGCTGGTGCCTTTTGCCCTGCCATTCGCCACTTGCTAACAGTTGTTTTCCTACGTGAGCAGCGCTCAGATACTCAGATACTTTTCTCCATGGATGCGATTCATTGTTGTCCACTCCACGCTCTCCGTTCTCCAGCTCTCCAAGCGGAAGCAACTCCATTTATGTAAATTGCTTGCGTGACATTTCAATGCGACCGGGCGCTTTATGAAAAGCTGGAGCGGAATGGGTCGAGCGGGATGAGGAGGAGCGTCAAAGAATCAGCTCCATTGTTGGATATCTCGAGTCCAGGGTTGCCAACGGCCCGCCAACATTCGCCAATCAGTTTAACTGTGCTTTTTTATGGCCGCACTTTGCGCTTCTTTTTATGCCAATTCATAGGCGCACATGTGCAATATCATTGCACTAACGTTTTTCCAATCAGCTTGGGATGATATACTTGGAATTAGTGTGAATGAATCTGCATGTTTTCCATCTGCATGATGTTTTTATTCTCCTCTTTAATTACACAGATTTTCTTACTTGCTTCATGTCTTTAACATGTGATACCGTATAGAAACCTTCGTTTTTTACTCTAAGGGATCGCTGGAAGATTTGCATCTACTTGGTTTTAACCTATAATTAGAAATTGTAAAAACATAATAAAGGTTTTACTCATTTGGAGTTTAATATTTTATACTTAAACGAAGAATACATTATAGAAATTTTTAAAAATTATTTACTATATCGTGCACTTTCCGCTTTAATGTTCTAGAATTTCCGCTCCGATTTCATCTGCATAATTTGTGAACTGGTGAAATAGGCAACAATAAAAGCCATACAACCTTCAGATTACCATTTTCAGAGAAATGTTACAAAAAGATAAAAACTCATAATTGGTTTTATTTTGTGGGGCTGCGTAAACTTGGCCCAAAACAAACTTTACCACGGGTTTTCGGCTTTAATTCGTTTGCTTAATTTGCTTTTTTCGGGCTCGCGGTTCAGCGAGGTGAAACGGTTAAATGTTTTCAAAACTGCCCCAGTGTTTTCCTTTCGCCATGTGTCTATGGCTTTGCGTGTGTTCATTGTTATTTCGGTGTGCCGCCCCTCCGGTGTGTGTGCATTATGCTAACTAAACCCTAATGTCGGTGCCCGGGTGTTTTTAGTGCTCCACATTAGTGTATCGTATAGGCATAATATGCCCCATAAAGGGCCATTCGATATATTTGAGCCAGGGCTGCAATAACTCGCACTCCGAGTTCATTGCACTGGATCGCCCAATCATAGAGCAACGGACTCTTTGTTGGGACCCTAGTCGAGGGAAAAAAAGCGGTTCAAAAAGCGACCATAGCAAATGGAAAATGTCAGCAAATTATGAATAATGCAGTGAAAAATACAGGAACCACAGAAAAACGTGATTGGAAAATGCCACAAAAACAGTGCATAAATAATACTTACATATTATCGGGCAGGGCGATGCGACATTTAAAGCTTTTGCTTCGCCCACAGCCCATCTGAATCATCAGTGGAAAAGTGTTAAGCGTTGTAGTGGTTATTTGTTTGTACTAGTAGGTTTTCGTTTGGCAACTGATACTTCTGTTTGTTTGTAACTGGAAACTAACCGCCCGATGTCACTGTTTATTTATTCATTAGCATCTCTACACAGAAAACAAAAATGTTTAAATTTTGATTTTTTTATTACAAAATCAATTTTATACTTGCCACTTGTTCTTGAAATAAAACTGATAAGTTTCTTTTTAAAATGATATTAAGCTTTTACTATGTAAATGCTTAAAGGTTGTGAGTAGTTGCGATTTTTAATAAAATTTGTTTAAATTTATTGATTTATTTAGTAAAAATATGAAATCGTATAAATTAAAATTGATCGTTGAATATGTAAAACTGATATGGTTTAAATTTTTCTGTGTAGCGTTTTTTTGATTCCATTAGCTACGGCAGCTCAATTTTCTGCTTGTCTCCGTGCCTTTGCCCACAAAATGTTGACTTTTCGAATTAAGTTTCACCGTTAGCAAAGATCAGGCGGTATTCGCTGGATTCTCGCCTTTCGGCAGCGTTACCGGTGATTTTCGCATTCAGTCGAAACCAGAGAGAACGCTATAGTCGGGTGCCCCGACTATCAGATACTCGTTACTCAGCTAAAGGAAGTGCGAGGCAGATGGAGATTTAAAACTTTGATCGCACATAACTTTTTAACGAATAGTCCGATTTGAAACATTTCTTCTACATTTCGATAGGTTGATAAACACAATAAAACTGCATTTTTACTTTAGAGGTGTGGTCGCCAGACACCTTTTAAAATCCTTTAAGGCGATTGTGGGCGTTAGAGGGGGTGTGGCACTCGGCTGAAACAAACTTGCGCTGCGTAAGAAGCCCAAGAATATGTGTGGGTAATCCGAACGTTCTAGCTTTTGTAGCTTCCGAGATCTTAGCGTTCATACGGACAGACAGACGGACAAGGCTAGATCGAATCGGCTAGTGACCCTGATCAAGAATACATGTGTGAACTTTATAGGATATGCTTCCTTCTAGACCTTACATACTTTTGCACGAATACAATATACCCTTTTACACTACGAGTAACGGGTATAAAAATTGACCTAGTCAACGAAATGGGAGATCCGCGATCGCTGCTCTCTCTCTCTCTCCGGAGTAAAAAACTTGTTCGTAAAGCTTTCGCTAAGCTTTGCGAAGCTTTATTGAACTCTCTTTATAAAGAGAAGGTTCTCTTCTGATATTTTGTACATACAATTATTTTAGCAGAGACGTCTCTTTGCACCTTTTTGTTTGTGACATTGACTACACTACTTGTGGTTTTGTTGATACTGTAAACATTGGAAAAAGACTAAAGCCAACCTTTGGGTTCCCAAGGTTTACCAAATCTAGACTTCGGGGATGAAAGTTGAACCCAGATACGTACACAATGCGGAATAAAAGGAGACGATGTTCAAAATACAATTGCCACGTACAGCAATGAATAAATGTAGGTATGTATTTCATCCAAAGTTCACTTTAAATTGAGGGCCAGCGCTCACCTTTCTCCTCATTTCTCCCTAGTTTTGCGAATACTATTAAGTAGGTACTTGGTTGTTTACAAACTTACGCAAACCAAAAAACAAACTGGGTGTTTGACAGGGCGACAATGAATAAAAACAAGTGCAACGTCGATTGCAGCAGATAGCTTGATTGATAATAGGAATTGCATGACGGAGAGC